GTAGGGTCTTGAGCCATGCAGGAGGCGGTCTCTAATGGAAGCTGCCTCACATCTTTGGGGAGACGCCTCCTACCTGTGGAGGAGAACTTTGACCCTACAAGGTTCCTGCTGGAACTGTCATGGCGTCACTCCCCACCAGGGGGCGCAGAACCTGTAATGCAAATGCCTTATAAAGCCAGGGGTTACCCTGGGACAGAGGTTGAAGAGGAGAACGCATGCTCTGCACCTGCTGTCCTTGCTCCGCTAGCCCGGAAAGTTGGAAACCAAGTGTTTGTTGTCTTTCTCTCATTAAAAGTAAGCTCCCACAGGTAAGGGCCTGCCCTCCATTACCCGTCCTTCCCACTCCTTAATGCCTAACACGCTGCCTGGCACGGAGTAGGGGGGGGCAATCAAAGGCCGTTGGATGAATCAGTTCAGCTGCTAAATCCGCGCGAGCGCGGAAGAGGACAGACCCTGGTAAGGACTGAAAGGGAGGAGCAGGAGGAACCTGACGCCAGGGGGAGCAAGAACCCGCACTCTCCAGATCTCGCGGAACTTCGCGCGCGCGCGTGCGCGCGGCCAAGTCGCGGGTTCTGTTTCTGACGCAAGCGCGAGGCGTGAGGAAGGAGCCACCCTAGCACGCGCGGCCTCGCCTGTGGCATGGGAGTTGCTTCCGGGTTGCGCGCCCGGAAGTAGGAGGTTGGTGGCTTACCCTCCTCGCCCGGAGGCTGAAGTCCCCGAGGCGGGAGGAGCCCGAGGGGGCGCGGGCCCCGCTTGTGAGTGACTGGGGCCCGAGGCCGGGAGGGGGGAGGCCGCCCTGTGACAGCCTCACCGCCGCTCCCGTCCGTGACACCCTCGCGCGGCCCTTTTTCTCTTGCCCTTGCGCAAACCTCTTTTCTGAGCCTCTGGGGTTTCGCAGGTTGACAGCACCGCCGGCAGCTCCCCCAGGGTCGACTCCCATAAGACGTCTTTTCCTTGGCTCCGCGGGGCCGAGCAAAGCGAGGTCGGCCCTGTTGGAGCTTGTTTCGCAGGTGTCACAGCAGTGTCCAGAACACCATCGGTGCTAGCGAAGTCTAGATTTCACTGCCCTTTTGACAAAATTCCTAATTTTTTAGTATGTTGAGTTGATTCCCCGCCCCCCTTCGAAACATCTTTTTCTAATAAAGTGTGGACTTGTATGCGATAAACATAGCATGTAGGATTTCAGAGTTATATGACTTGATTTATTGACCCGATAATGGGGTGTTTGTAGTCACCATTTGCTACAAAAATCTCCTGCCTAGTGTTCCTAAGACCACCAACCTTGCTGGTCACAGGTTTTCCTATTTAAGAGCTCGTATAGCCTTGGTATTTGCGAGTATATTTAAAGTATTTAGTCATCGCTTGATAATAGAAACTACTCCCGGATGCTTAACTATTCTGACTTTTTCAGATTGCTCATTTGGTTGTTTCCATGGTGGAATCCTCTATGGGCATTTCTCCCTTAATGAAATGGTGTGTTCAGGGTTTATCACAATTTCTCTCTAAGGAACAACATCCTTTAACCTAAATTCAACTTTGCTACGTTGAAGTTTGACTAAAGTTCACTTAGTCCAACTTGCATACCAGAGAGTGTCCATGTTAGGCTCTTTCTGCTTTGAACCAAAACAATTTTCAAGATCCAGTTTTAATCCCTGTTCCTCTAACAAGCTACCTAGCAACACCACAGAGATTGTCTAAATGAGAGGTTCCTAATCTACTCACCTAAACCCTCCTTAGGTTGATGTATTTTTAAAAATAAGAAGAATAAATGGTAAAGTAAACCAACCATTAGTTAAATTAGTTTGAGAACAGAATGACCAGTTCCTTTGTATAAATCTGTTCAGAAGGTACTTATCAGGTTCCATGACTCTGAGGTGAATTTCCATGTCTGTTGTTAGTTTCTTCTGATATTTTCTCCACTTATCTCTGCTTTCAAGGGTTAAATAACAAAAAATTCAAACGAGTAAATTTAAAATTTTTTTTTCAACGTTTATTTATTTTTGGGACAGAGAGAGACAGAGCATGAACGGGGGAGGGGCAGAGAGAGAGAGGGAGACACAGAATCGGAAACAGGCTCCAGGCTCCGAGCCATCAGCCCAGAGCCCCACGCGGGGCTCGAACTCACGGACCGCGAGATCGTGACCTGGCTGAAGTCGGACGCTTAACCGACTGCGCCACCCAGGCGCCCCAAACGAGTAAATTTTGAACATCTAATTGCTGTAATTAAATCATGAATCAGGCAGCATCCCATCTGACAAGTAGAGAGGAGCTCCTAAAGGGCTACAGGAAAGGAAAGGTTTTTCAAGGTAGAGAGTGAAGTAAAGGAACTGATTTTTTTTTAGGCATTGCCAGTTTTTTAGGCAAAGTCATTCTAAGGGGGAATGGGGTTTATCAGTAAATGTTCTAGCACTGACCAGGAAATTCCATGTTGGCTGGGTAATTTCCAAGGGATTTGAAACTGCAGTTAGCTTAGATGTTAAGTCTTGGTTTGCTGACTTGGGACCCTAACCTAAGTGACACCATTTTGGGCCTGTGGTTTTCTTTTTAACACAAGGAACAATTTAGTGTGAGGAGACATGGAAATAAATACAATACAAAGTGATCAGAGTTGTGTTTAGGGTTCAAAGGACAAACATCAAGGCTGGAATAAGGAGTTCACTGATTGGAAAAGCATGGGGGCTTTTCCCCATGGTAGGCAGAGACAATTATTTGTACAAAAGCAAAAAGATGTAAAATGGGATGTCAGTGAAGAACGTGAGGAAGGAATAGGAAATGAGACTGAACAGGTAGGCAGTGACCAGGTCATAATGGGAAGCTAAGTAATTTGAACTTCGTCTTATTAAAAGTACCAAGTCTTAAATTTGGGACAAATGTTTTACATTCATCATCTCGTAATCCCTTCACATCAGTGTTGGAAAGAAACAATTACCCCCATTTTATAAAATGATGAAAACTCAGAGGCTTAGATTAAGTACTGTCTCATGACTACACAGTAGTGGAAGATCAGGTGTTTGTATTTAGCTTTTTCCAAGTCCACTTGCCTTCTTAACCACCTTGCTAAATTGTTCCACAGCAGGACATGGGGATCCAAGGAAGTCGCTTTAAATAGACAAGTAACATTAGCTGATTTGTTTCAGAAAAATAATTTGTGGGGCGAGTTGAGGATGGATCAGAGAGGAGAAGGAGAACTGGCAGTATAGAGATTAAATTTATCTTTGTGATGGTCCACGGGACAGATGTTGAGAGCCTTGACTACCATTAATGTAGAGCTAAAAAGGAGATGGTGAATGTGGGAACTATACAGGGAGTAGAATCGAGGATTTAGTGATTGGTCCATTAGTGGTGATGAAAAAGGAGGGGTTTTAAATATGGAGAACTGGTGTTTCCATTAATTACAAAACAATATAGTAGGAGAAATGGGTTGCGGGGGTGGGGGGGGCAGGAATAATAAGGCACTTATGGGCACATTACATATAGGGAACAGAAGGAAATTTCTGCCAGAGTGTGTGGTATACAGATAGATGGATGGGTCTGGAGTTCTGGAGGGTTTTAGACTGGAGAAGAGATTTCGAAATCACTAATAGCTGGTAGTTAAAGCCAGGGAGGGAATGAGAAGATCAAGGACAACCGTGATGAATACCAGCATTCAGGGGTATGGTCTCTGAGAAAAGAGAATTATGCTAAGGTTTGAGAGCACTTGAGGGAGGAAATGGCTGGCAACAGGAACTTCTGTGGAGAGGTCAGTTAGGGTAGTAATTGAGAAAACGTCCTTTTGACTTGGCATGTAGAGAGCCATTGGTGACCTGAGAGCTGTATTAGTGGTGTGAGGGGGGCAGAAATGTGATTTGAGTGGTTAATAAAGACATGGAGACCTTAGAAACACGAAGGTGAAGTGATGCCTTTTTTTTTTTTTTTTCTTTTCTTTTTTTAAGGAACTTGGCTCTGGAGGGAGAACACGAGCACTGGAATTCTAGAGAGAAAGGATTTTTTTTTTTTTTTAATGGTAGAAACTGGAAAAGATGAGGATATGAGCAGGTAGAAATAAAGTTTATTTATTCTAGAGAGAGAACATGCAAGCAGGGGAGAGGGGCAGAGGGAGAGAGAGAGAAAATCTTTAGCAGGCTCCATGCTCAGCACGGACCGCACCTGGGGGCTCAGTCCCATGACCCTGGGATCATGACCTGAGCCAAATTCAAGAGTCGACCTTCTGAGCCCCCGAGGCGCCCACCCCTTTTTGTGTAGCTAGATGCATCTATTTTGCATCTTAGACTTGCCTAGCTGGCACAGCTGTTTGGAAAGCTGAGCACCTCCAGGTGTTCACTGTCAAATCAGTGTTGAGGACATATTTATAACCATAAGGAAGTTCTGTATTAAACAGGACAAAGGAGAGGTTCGCATTTAGTTGGACCTCTTAACCTGTTTTCTGCAGTAAACAAACTTTTATTGTAAGTTCTTTTAGAGTCATTCTATCGGTTATGCCTCTGTCCTGTTTTTTTCCTAGACTGAGGCACAGAAGGAATTGTGGAGAACATCTCATCAGAGCTGTCAGTGGCTTCCTTCTATTCCTGAGATGCTCCTTCAGAAGTGAACAGCCTCCTGGCTTATCTCCACCCCCCCCCCCCAACCTCCACCCTGGCCTCCCTTGAAAGCAGAATTTCTTAACCTCAGCACTCTTAACATTTTGAACGGGACAGTTCTTTGTTGTGGGATGTTTAGTCTTCACCCACTGGATGCCAGTAGTGCCCCTCCAGTTTTGACAATCAAAAATGCCTCAGACATTGCCAAATGTCCCCTGGGGAGCAGAATCACCCCTAGTTGAACTGCTGTTCTAGAGCAGTGTCTCCCATTTGGGAGTGTGCCTCTTCTCAACAGGGAAGAGTTTGAATACTTCTGCACCAGGATCCCACTCCCAGAGATTCTGGCAATTCAGGATGTCTAGGGTGGTGCATGATACCTTGATTTTTATAATTCTGCTAGTGACCCTGCCTGTGCCCTTGCAGGTTAAGAGTCAAGCTCACTCTTTGGAACTTCCCTCTGTGGCAAAGCTCATTCCTGCTAGAGTTGGATCTTCTTTCTTTCTGGAGGTAAAGGAATTGCCTTTGCTCAGCTGATTTCAGTCAGTGCCCTCATACTTGATGCTAAGCCATGACTTTGTGTTTGAGGTTTTTTTTGTTTTGTGTGTGTGTGGTGTTTGGTTTTGTTTTGTTTTTTGTTTTTAATACAAATCCTTGTGTTGAAGGCTTTCAAATCTCAGCAAGGGAGCTGCTTTGCTGGTATGAAATCCCAACCCAAAGGGACAAGATTTTTTGTGTGTGCTTAATTGACATCATATCTACTAGATGCCAGTACCCCTCAAATGTGACCATCAAAATGTCTCCAGACTTTCCAAATGTCCCTGTCCAGAATTGCCCCCAGTTGAGGACCACTTGTCTAACGAAAGCCAGAAAGAGGGCTTATTATGAAGATCCCCACGTGCTCTTAGAAACTTTATGAAGTTATTGGTAAAGACCCTTCCAGTAACTTGGGAAATATGTCAAAATCTCAAGGAGAAAGGATGTACAGCTTGCAAAAATATAGTCAGTATCATAATACCATTGTATACTTGAATTACCAAAAAAAAAAAAAAAAAGAAAAGAAAGAAAAAGAAAACCAAAACCAAAAACTGTTGTTTTTGCGATAAAAACTGGGGGTTTAGTGAGGTTTTTATGTGTCCTGAAAGTAGGCAGAGATTTACAAAGGTTGTGAAGTAGTCATCAGAAATGGTGATAGTTGATTCTCTTTTGAACCTCACTTGTACTTCTGTTCCCTTCACGGTTCTCCTAAAGGCCCACCAATATGATCTCTTCTGCCTGAGGGATTACCTACACGTACCCCACCTTCCAACACTTTTCAGAATTTTTTTACTGGAATCCTTTCCAGAATTCTCCCTGCTCTCTTTTCTAGTCCTTTAATGAGTTTTAGTGGATTTTGACTGGATGTCGTTGGGTAATTTATTGTAGTTTTTTTGAACAAACATTATCCTTGCTTGCTTGCTTGGAATATCTTTGTTAATTTCGACAGGAAAAAACGCTATCTCTGGAATCACTAGTCACAAAATCAAGATGTGAAAAATATTGTAATAAGTTATCGCTTTATTCTTTTTCCAGGAATCGTTGTAGTTGATCACTTGTCCAGTTCTCAGCCAGTCATTTGTGATAATCGAGGGGCATGGTGTTGTGGTTTCCAGACTGCCAGCTCAGAATAGGAAAATACTTGGTAAGGGAGGCAGCGTGCATAAAGGTTAAAAGCATCAACTTGGAAGTCAGGCACACTTGACTCCACATCCTGGCAAGTTATGGAACCTTTCTGAGCCTTACTTTCAACATCTGTGAAATGGGGTTAATCACATCTACCTTTTGGCAAAACAAAAAGCAAAGAGACAAACCAAAAAAAAAGACTCTTAACTATAGAGAACAAACTGGTGGTTGCCCAAGGGGAGGTTGGTGGAAGTGGGGGGAATGGGTGAAATAGGTAAAGGGGATTAAGAGTCCACTTACCATGATGAGCACTGGGTAATGTACAGAATTGTTGAATCACTATATTGTATACCTGAAATTAATAGAATACTGTATGTTAACTATACTGGAATTAAAATTAAAAACTTAATAAAAAAAATCACACCTACCTTTTGGGATTGCTGTGATGATTTACTAAGATCACGTTTCTTGTGTGCTTAGCACGGTGCCTGCATTTAGGATGGCGCAACTGGAAGTGGTCATTTAGGAATGTAATTGGACAGAAGTCTTTAGTTCCCAATGAATTGAAGTTTTTCTACTTCCCAAAGCCTTCCAATACCCTTAAAATTTTAGAGCTAGAGGGGACTTCGAAAACCTCTTAGTTCAGTCCCTTTATTTTTTTAGGTGAGGAAATAGACCAAGTGACTTAGCCAAAATCATAAGAGTATAGTTTAATAAATGCCATAGCAGGGGTAAGTTCAAATTCTATAAATATACATTTTACAAGACCAGTGCTCTAACCCCTGAGCTATAGGTCCTATAAGTACACGTTTTAAAAACATCTTTACTGAAATTTAATTTATATGCCATAAAATCCACCTGTTTGAAATGTACAATTCGGGGTTTTTTAGTACGTTCACAAAGTTGTGCAACTATCACCGCAATTTAAGTTTTGAACATTTCTGCCACTCCAGAAAGAAACCCTTGGATCTACCGACAGTCAGTTCCCATTCTTCTCCACTCTGTGTCTGCATAACCACTAATTAATCTACTTCCTGTCTATAGATTGCCTCTATTATTAACTTTTTGCATTCTATTAATACAGTCTTACAACATGTCATCTTTTTTGACTGTCTCCCACTTAGCTTAAGGTTTTCAAGGTTCACCTATGTTGTTGGTATCCATACTTTATTCCTTTTTATTCAATCATATTCTATTGTATGGATATACTACATTTTATCCATCCATTTAGTAGTTCATGGACATTTGGATCGCTTTATTTTTGAGCTATTATGAATAATGCTTGGATATCCATGCACAAATTTTTGTACAGAAAGTTTTTGAGAAACTGTCCAGCTGTTTTCCAAAGCAGCTGCACCATTTTATATTCCCACCAGCAGTGTATGGGAGTTCCAGATGCTCAATATCTCCCAACTTATTATCTGACTTTTTTTTTAAGTTTATTTATTTATTTTGAGAGTGCAAGAGAGAGCGAGCACGGGAGGGGTAGAGAGAGAGGGAGAGACAGAATCCCAAGCAGGCTCTGCACTGTCAGTGCGTAGCCCGACGTGAGACTAGAACTCTTATCAGAAATAGAGTTTGCGTATATTTTCCCCCATTCTTTGGGTTGTCATTTCACTTTCCTAAAAGTTACCATTTGTAGCACAAAAATTGTTAATTTTTAATGTCCAATTTATTTTTTCTTTTTCTGCTCTTGCTTTTGGCGCCGTATCTCAGAAGCCATTGCCTAATGGAGGGTCATGAAGACTTTTTCCCCTGTGTTTTCTTCCAAGAGTTTATAGTTTTAGCTCTTACGTGTTTGATACATGTTGAGTTAATTTTTGTGTATGGTAGAAGGAAGGGTCCTACTTCATTCTTTTGCATGTGGATATCTAGTTGTCCCAGCACCATTTGTTGAAAATACACATTTTTAAATAGAGTTTACACCATCCTTTTATCTGAACCTTGAAATGAAAGCCTATGTGGCCTAGGAAAAACACAGTCTGAGCAAGAGCAAAGAGTTTGGGGAAGGGATTTAGCCTTTTAGCGTGTGGGGGTTCCTGCCCCTCCCCAACCAATTCCTCAGTCTAGATTACCTGCCTGTTAATTCACCATTGGAAATCCAATACTGTTTTATTTCATTGGTTTGGGTTGAGGCCCTGGTATGAGCATTCATTAAAAATTCTGGTGACTCCAGTGTGGAGGCACACGTAAGAGCTAGTGAACTAAAGGGTTAATAGTCCTACCAAGGACCAAACCGTCAGTATCAGGAGGTGCTGCTGGAAGGGGAGATGGGCTGAGGTGCTTGCTTTTCTCCACGCAGCTGCAGGAGCTGCAAGACCATTGTCCTTGGCTCTACAGGTGGCAGCATCTCCTTACTGAAAAAATAGAGTTGTTCCACGTCAGTGCTTTCTGGGGTTAGAAGCACTTTGGGCGTGACATATATGAACTAAGACGACTTCTACATGTAAGGGAAAAAGAGACCAATAAAAGAGCATAAATCCCAAGCACTGTTTTTCCTTTGGTAAGTGACAGAAGATGTTGTCTTACAACACAAGCATTTTTTAAAAAGAACGATTTGATTGCATGTTACAAGAGAGTATTCTACTCTGCCACTTTAGTTTCTACCTTTTCTTCTGTGGCGGCTGTGAAACAGTTTGGCTTTAAAGTAACTATGAGAACAAATTGAATTTTGAAATTAGTTAAAGATCTTAGGTCTTTCAAGTACATGAAATACAAGTAAAATGCTCTTTATTGTCTAAAACTGTATTTGCAGAAAAGTATGAGGACTCTAGCCTGCAAGGTCTGAGCAGTCCCAGTGCCGTGGTTTTTGTGTTGCCTGAAATTCTTGCTCTGCCAGTAGCAAAACGTGTCAGTACGTTCCCCATAGTAAATCTTGCAGTGCTTAGTTCCTCCTGTGTTGCTAAAAGGTGTATCTAATACAAATGCAAAGAAATAATGGATCAACAACACTCCATATTGCATTTCTTTTTAAGTAAATTACCAGTAGCAGACCTCCTGTGATTGGTTTCAATAATCCTTTCGGTTGGCACTAGTGTTTCAGAGTCCCATTAGGGATTTATTGTGCTGTAGACTAGCGCTCCTCAAAGTGTCTGTGAACCAGTAAACTGTGTTACTAGCCCACAATTAAGGAACACTTAAAAACTATGTAGTACTAACTTGACCTAATCTAGACGTTCGTTATATTCTACAAAAGCATTGGCTTGCAGTGGATTGGGGAAAACAGGAAGCTGGTCCTTCCCCATGAAGCTCTGTTCTAAGTGAAGTAACTTTGAGGGGTGCCTGAGTGGCTCAGCTTTGGTTAAGTGTCTGACTTCAGCTCAGGTCACGATCTCACAGTTTGTGAGTTCGAGCCCCGAGTTGGGCTCTGTGCTGACGGCTCAGAGTCTGGAGCCTGCTTCGGATTCTGTGTCTCCCTCTCTCTCTGCCCCTCACCTGCTTGCTTGCTTGCTCTTTCTCTCTCTCTCTCAAAAATAAATAAAACATTAAAAAATTAAAAAAAAAAATAAAGGAAGTAACTTTGAGGAACAAGGTATTTTAAAGAAACCATCTTTCTTTTTACATTTACTTTCTTTCTCTCAGGGATTTTGTACTGGAAGACATGGATCTTGCTGCCAATGAGCTCAGCATTTATGACAAACTTTCAGAGACTGTTGATTTGGTGAGACAAACAGGCCATCAATGTGGCATGTCAGAGAAGGCAATTGAAAAATTTATCAGACAGCTGCTGGAAAAGAATGAACCTCAGAGGGGACCACCCCAGTATCCTCTCCTTATAGCCGTGTATAAGGTAAAAACGTGTTTTGACTTGGAGATTCCTTAAACAGAGCACAAACTCTTCAACTTTCTCCCCAAATTTTACTGTTGACTGCTTCTACCATCTAACCTTAGTTTTCCTATGAATAAGTTGGCCTTTGCTCTTGTTACCATGAGTTACTAGGAAATTTGACCCATTTTGTTAAATATCCATGATGAAAGCTATATATTTATAATTAAACTGTATTTGTGTATACTTTTTAATGGAGGACATAGCCCCATAGAAGCCTGGTGCTGAGTGGCTCAGTTGGTGGAGCATGCAACTCTTGATCTCCGGGTCGTGAGTTCAGGTCCCACTCTGGGCATAGAGCCTACTTAAAAAAGAAAAAAACAAAAGGAAGAAGAAGGTTGGTGAGCCTTGCAGTTCTCATAGTTCTCAAACTTTAAATGTATTTCATTCAGGAGTGAATGTAGCCAATTTGGCAATAAATTATATTTAAAAAAAATAAAATATAAATAAAATAAATTTAAAAAATGAAACCATAAAAGGTTAAAAAAATGAACATAAATGACTTGTTTATGAAAATGGATTAGTTCCTAAGGCACAGTGAAAATAATGGAAGAGGCTGGGGTTTTTGGTTTGTTTTTTTTTTCTTTTTTTTCTTGGCATTAAAGTATTTTGTTTGCTGGGACAATTATTAATCCTTTTCCTGTCTTTCCTTATAGGTCCTTGTAACCCTGGGATTAATCTTGCTCACTGCCTACTTTGTGATTCAACCTTTCAGCCCATTACCACCTGAACCGGTGCTTTCTGGAGCTCACACCTGGCGCTCACTCATCCATCACATTCGGCTGATGTCCTTGCCCATTACCAAGAAGTATATGCCAGAAAATAAGGGAGTTCCTCTGCATGGGGGTGATGAAGACAGACCCTTTCCAGGTAGAATCCTGCATTTTACTACTTACACGGTGTTCTTGACAGTGTATGGTGGGAAAGGAAATAACATGTACTGACATCTAATGAGAGACACTTTCCCACTTTTGTCTTTAAAAAAATTTTTTTTGTTTTTATTTTTGAAAGAGAATGAGCTTGAGCGGGGGAGGGGGAGAGAGAGAGAGACAGACAGACAGACAGACACAGAAAGACAGAGAATCCAAAGCAGGCTCCAGCTGCTGAACTGTCAGCACAGAGCCCAATGCGGGGCTCGAACTCACAAACTGTGAGATCATGACCTGCACTGAAGTCGGACACTCAGCTGACCTGAGCCACCCAGACACCCCTCAATTTTGTCTTATTTAATTCAGTCCCTGCTAAAACTCTATTTGATAGGGGTTTTTTTGGGTTTTGTTTTTTTGTTTTTGTTTTGTTGTCCCTGTCTTGCAGATTGAGGAACTGAGGCTCAGAGAGATTAAGAAATTTGCCAGACAAACACTCCTGGGGGAACCAAATTCAAACCCCCTGATTCCAAAGCACACATGGTGGGGATGAGTATTTTTGTTTATAAGGAACATTTCAATGTATCTTATTCTACCCTTTTCTCTCCTGTGATCCCTATCCATAATAGATATTTTAATAAATAGCTATTGATTTATTGAAAACATCTGAGTCCAGCTTGCTTTTAACCAGATCCTCGAATAGTCCTTAGCCTGTTGGGCTGGGTTTTTGTCCCACTTTGTCTTACTCTTTCAGTATAGTGTTTCCTCTGCCTCACAGTATGCTTAGTGCTCCTAAGTGGGCAGTTTTGCCAGTAAGTTGAATTTAAGAAACATTTAAATTTAGTAACAGTGTATCAGTGGGAGCACAGGAATTTCTGGTCTGACATACCAATTGAGGAGTTTCCTTTTGCGAAGAATGTAACGTGTGATAAGACTTGAAATTTACCTTTTTTTTTTAATGTTTATTTTTGAGAGACAGAGTACGAGTGGGGGAGGGGCAGAGAGAGAGGGAGACACAGAATCTGAAGCAGGCTCCAGGCTCCGAGCTGTCAGCACAGAGCCCAATGCAGGACTTGAATCCATGAACCTCGAGATCATGACCTGAGCTGAAGTTGGACGTTTAACTGACTGAGCCACCCAGGTGCCCCTGAAATTTGCTTTTTGAGAAAGAACAGAGGGCATTTTATTTTATTTTATTTTTTAAAGTTTATTTATTTTGAGAGAGACCTTGAGCTGAGGAGATGTAGAGAGAGGGGGAGAGAAAGAATCCCAAGCAGGCTCTACGCTGTGAGTGCGGAGCCTGATGTGGGGCTCAAACTCATGAACTGTGAGATTATGACCTGAGCCAAAGTCAAGAGTCAGGTGCTTAACCAGCTGAGCCACCCAGGTGCCCTGGATTTTATTATTTTGGTGGTATTCATCTTATTTGCCCAGATAAAGGAATATGGAAATTAATTTCACAAGTGTATTATGGGAGTTTTTGTGTAACTGTTCTGAAACCTTTAGATTCCAACATAACTGGAATCTAAACTGTTTAGGAAGCATGCTTTCTCCTCAGTGTTGTGTTCAGAAAAAATTTCCTAGTGGAAGCTACACTTTATAATGTTACTCTTTTCTCTTTTTTAACTTTTTTTTTTTTTTTTTTTTTTTTGAGAGTATGAGAGAGAGCGGGGAAGGGAGCTCAAGCTGGGGACGGATAGAGAGAGAAAATCTTAAGCAGGCTCCAAGCCCAGTGCAAAGCCTGACATGGGGCTTTATCCCTCAACCATGAGATCAGGACCTGAGCCCAAATCAAGAGTCAGGTGCTTAACCAACTGAACCACCCGGCACCTCTATAATGTCACTCTTTAAGCCAAGATCTAATCAGTCATAAAAATCCCTTGTATTGAGTCTCCTTTGAAAGCTATTTTTGTACACTTGAGGAAATTATGGAAAGATTTTCAAAATTATGCTAAAATCAGAGGAAGGGAACATTGTAAAGCAAAAAGCCTTGTGAGGTTTTTTTGGTTTTGTTTTTTTTTTTTTTTTTTTTAGTTAGCTCATATGTATAGAGTTTTTAATTCCAGATATAACTTCCTTGTATTTTTGAAATGTCATCAACAAAGCTTAAAAAAAAAAAAAAAAAAAAAAGTGATGTTTCCAACTTCTCTGTCAGAAAGGTCCAGAACACATGGGGGAAAGACCCAGAGAAACTTGTCAGGCCAGCCTGATGCTGCTTCCTCACACGCATCAACGCATCAGCCTCCTTTCCTGTCTTCCTCTCACTACCTCCCTAAAGGCATCTTCTGCCCTTTGGCACACAGAGATCAAGTCAGCAGTTTTTAGGACCAAATTGATGGCAGTTACTCTGTTTCTCCCTGTCCTGTAAGGGAAATTTCCTTAGGCTATTGAGTTAGGAAGTGACAGTTGATGGACCACTATTGCTCATTCTCTAAATCAGAGTCTTAATAATTCAAGAAACCTTCGTGTCTTGTCAATAAGCCTAACTATTGGGTTCACTCCAAATGAGTATTTTGCCTTGCAGGTGGAAACTGAATTCTTGGAGCTCAGTTGTAAAGAGAGAGCATTGGAAGGGTGTGGTTTTTAGCTCTTTAATGTTGTTGACTATTAAAGTGCTGCTTTTACTTACCAGTGTGGATATTGATGCACCATATATTCTTGTGTGTGATCATTCTGGGAAGCTGTGGGCATGTACAACTAATAGCATTTTGCATAGCATTTGGAAGGAAACTGAAGAATACATAATAATATAAGGGATAAATAGAAACCTATGGAGGAGAATTAGGTACAAGAAATAGGAACTGCTGGGCCTGTAAGAGGGCTAGAAAAGGAAAAAAAAAAATAAATTATCCTTCCTGATATCATGGTACCAATGAACCACTGCCTTTTAGTTAGAATTACTTAGCAGTACCTTTGAAGTAAATGTAGAGGGAACATGGCCTGGCAGATTCAGCTCCCTAAAGGAAAGCCCTCAAGCATATTGTTTCCTAAGGGCTGGCCTGTCAAAGGCCCCTGGATCTTCTGACACTCCTTGCAGTGGCGCCTTGGGAATGACCGAGGGCACTGGGAGCAATGGTGAATACCTGACCTCTGGTAGTTTCTCCTCTTGACTCCACCCAGGGAATAAGAGGCAGCAGAGGTGGGGTTCTTTTTCTAGGTTTCAGCCTTGGGTAGGAAACCCTGCTCCTGAATTCTCTTGATGAGAATTCTCTTGATGAGATGATATATTCTCTTGATGAGAATTCTTCTTGATGAGAAGAATGGAGGGACTCCATAGTGACTCACGTCAGCATCCCACTCTGCAGCAGAAAATAAATAAGCTGACACTTATTTAGTACTTACCAGATGCCAGGCCCCGCTGTAAGGGCTTTCCATATATTGCTTCATTTAATCTTTACATTATCCCTGTGAGGGAAGTTCTGGTTGTATGCCCGTTTTAAGGATGGAGACACCAAGGGCCAGTGACATTATGTCACTTGCCCGAGGTCCTAAGGCTACTAAGTCATGGAACCATGATTCAGACCCATCCTATCCTCGCAGTCTGAGCTCTTAGCTTCTGCTGTGAGTAGGGTGTCGCTATACACTATACCCACAGAATCTAGCTTTTAGTTTGATTTGGGAGTTCTGTGCTCTCTCTCAGCTCACCAGATGCCTCCTTTCCACTCCCTGGTGCCCAGAACAAGGTTTTTCTGGCTGGCATTGCATGTCCAAAGATAAACCATCCTCTGGGCCTGGCCCTTTAGAATTTTCCTGAACTAGTCTTTTCCTAGGCATTCCGCCCAGCTCATCTTCCCAGTCTACAGCCTTATGGGTAATGTGTGACTTGTTTGACTTAATCCTTTATCTGATTAACCCATAGTTTTCCCTTCACGGTCACATTCTTAGTCCCCCCCAGTCCCGACCTCATATCTTTATGTCCACTTTGATCCTACCAGCCATCCTCTTGGCTTTCATCCTTCCATGGAATCACTGAGTCTTAGAGCTAAAGAGGAACTTTAGCCCTGATCTAATACATAGCCTTGTTTTGTAAAGAGGGAATTGAGGACAGGAAAGGTGAAGTAACTTGTTCACCCAGCTAAAAATGCCTCAGTGGCACTCGAACCTTTATTTCGTAATTCTAGTGTTCCCTCCATCACACCACACTCACTGTCTGCTATCTTTGCCCTCAGCCAAGCCAGGCTCCTGCATGTTAGGCCCAATTTGTTTACTTGGGACATCAGTAATTTTTTTTTAAGGTTTTATTTTTGGGGCACCTGGGTGGCTCAGTCGATCGAGCGTCTGACTTTGGCTTGGTCATGATCTCACGGTTCGTGGGTTCAAGCCCTGCTTCAGGCTGTGTGCTGACAGCTCAGAGCCTGGAGCCTGCTTCTGATTCTGTGTCTCCCTCTCTCTCTGCCCCTCCCCTGCTCACACTCTGTTTCTGTCTCTCGCTCTCAAAACTAAGTAAACATTAAAGAAGAATTTTTTTTGAAAGATCTTATTTTTAAGTAATCTCTACATCCCACACAGGGCTTGAAATCACAACCTTGTGATCAAGAGTCTCATGCTTTATCGACTAAGCCAGCCAGGCGCCCCTAGGCATTTATAATTTTTAATTATGACACCCATTGATGCTGAGGCGGTCTGAGATAGTCTCATATACAATGGAAAAGTGTATCTCTGTATCTGTACCGCGTAATTGGAACTTTACATATCCATGACCTTTCAAGGGAAGGTTGGAGTAGATCCAGCAACATCAAGTGGCTTTAGGAGTAGATCATTCAATGACTTAGAACTGAGGACCAAAGCAGAGTCTAGGCTAGTGCCCAAAGATGAACTGCTTGGACCTCAGAAAATGCCCTACTATTTTATTTGCAAATAAAATTTGAGGTGATGATAACAAATATGTCAAGCACTTACTGTGTAGGAGGCACTGTGCCATGTACTATGTTGTGTATTTTCTCAGTCCTTACAACAATTACAGAGGTAGTTACCATTTTTCTGTCCCTTCCAAAGATGAGGAAA